CGGTCTGCCCTCCTCCACATCTCGGGGCCGCGCCGGAGCAGAGGCGGCTGGAGGCCGTCGGCCCGCGCCCCCGCGCCCAGGTCCGGCGCTCCCGGAGCCCGTAAATCCGAGCGCGCGAGTGGAACACCACGGAGTGGTCGGCACCCCGGAGCCCCACGTGGACTGGCACCTTGGGCCGAAGTAGTGACCCCCCACGAGAGGTGGGCGCAGTGTGAACCGCGCCGACTCCAGCCGGGAGGGCGCACGGGTCCGCGGGGGTCCCCGGCGTGGCAGCCTCGGGGACGCCAAGTGGCCTGGGCCACCCGCGCGCTCCTTCCAGCGCTGCAGCCCCGCTCATTTCCCGTCCCTGAAAAGGAAGGAGGTCCCGTGGACCTCTCTGCGCGCGTGTGGCGGGGGATGCCCTTCAACAGCCCAGTTGCTAGACAGCTGTATCTGTAGTCGCCCCGTGGCGACACCAACCTGCCACGCCAGGAACAACTCCCAGTTCCATGGTCACCGTTCTTCTTGGAGCTCGGGACTGCTATTCCCACTTCTTGTTCGGATTTCCTCTTAGATGTCTACGTCACCTCGTTAACTTCGCAAAGCCACCGCTCTGAAACCAAAGCTGTAGATCCGGCCCCCGAACCGGCCCCCCTCGGCTCTTCCACTTCCAAGAGACAGTCTTACGCTGCTCGCCCAGCCCGTGGCGTCGTCAGCATCACTGTCTCTAGCAAGTGCCTGAGAAATGCGGTCGCCCTTCACATGGCGGCACCCCTAGGCTGGTCCCGGCTGCGCTCATTGCTCGCCGGAACAGTGCAGTGGCCCCGCGGGGAAGCGCGGGAATCGAGCCCCGCCCCGCCCCGCCCTGTTGAGGTGTATTTTGAGACAGGGTCTCTCTAAATCGCTAATTTGCCCAGGCTGAGCCTGAACTTGTGATCCACCTGCCTCAGGCTGCAGAGCTGCTTCAGAAAGTGGCAATAAGGCTGGGGGACGCGTGTTGGAAGTGGGGTAGTATGGGGGTTCACTGCAGTGTGTCTTTTTTTTTTTAAGTTTTATTTATTTGTGGGGGGGCCCAGCTCAGCCCACCAGGGGGCGGGCTGGCTGGCATGGGGTGCTGGGGGATTGAACCGCAGTCCCTGTGCTTTGCTAAGCTTGTTCTAAGTAGGTGCTTTAGACCACTGAGCCATCTCCCCAGCCCAGCAGTGTGTCTTTTACTGTAATATTTTTAAAACATTCAAACCTTCGCTCTACGTTTGGATCACACTTTGGTTGCAAACTCCCCCACCACACAAACACATACTTCCACCTGTCGCCCATAAACAGCCAGTCCTGGCTTTGAGGCTGAAAGGAGCTTGGTGGAAACACAGACCACTTCTTGGCCCAGCAGCGGGGCTGGGGACCACCGGCTTCAGGGAGTGGCAGTGTGAGCAACCTGGCGTGACCACCGCATTGATTGGTTCCCTTTCCCGCCTTAACCAGACCCCTTCCGGCCTCGCCCCCTCCAGCCTCTCTTCTCATTGGCTAAACTCCGCAGCCTCTCGTCCTCCATCCAATGGTAGAGCGTAGGATGGCCGGGAGGCGGGGCCAAAGGGTCTGAGGACCCCCCCCAGCTGCTTGCTAGGCAACCGGGGGACTCAGGCCTTGGGGGCACTGAGACGCGGAGCCTCCGGGTGCCTAGAGAGGCCAGGGTCGCGAGGGGGGTCCGCCGGCGTTGCAGACTCAGGTCCTCCTCCGAGCTGTTCCGAGACCCGCGTGTGAGGCGCTCGCGGTGAGGGCTTCGCCGCGTTAGGACTGGGGACCCGGGGTTGAGGTCGCGTGGGGGCAGCCAGGGCCAGGTTCCTCTGCTCGTGAGGCGGCGTGGAGCCGAGCGGTCGGGGCGGCTCCCCTCCCGCGTCCGCGACCCGCTTTTGTCCGGGTTCGGGCCCCAGCCCCGCTCCCCCGCCCGCCCTCGCTGGGGCCGCCCCCGGCCAGCTCCCCGGCCCTGCAGCCCCGGTCGGCGAAGACGCGTTTCGCCGTGCGATCCCGGCTTCGCTGCCTGTGCGGATCCTGGGGCGCATTCACTTACTGACAAAATATTTTTTGAGCATCTGCCCAAGGGTGTTC